GAGTGGCTCAAAGCAGTGGGACTAGAACTGCTTTAGTTAAATGGAGGGGATCTCTCTCTACAGCCACCGTTCTGGCTGCTTCTAACTGGACTCTTCACAAACTTCATCTGCAGACGGTGAGTGCTTCGTGCATTTAGTGAGATATTGACCGTAATTTATGGGACACATGTYTCGCTTGTGAAACTGTACCTTTTATTTATAAAGTTTGTTCCAATATGTCCTTTGTGCATGTTCATTTCCAATGATAACTAGTTAGCAGCTAGCGGCTATCGCTAGTTAGCAATCTAGGCTAAAAACAACACCCCAGCTATACATTTATTGTAATTAGTAATTAATTTTAACCGTATTCGAGGGTAATCTTTGTTTTTTTGTTCAGAGTCACCTTCGACAAATGACCAGCTGAGCTCCCGGACCGTTTCTCCACTCTCTCCTACACCTATCTGTACCAGCTGCCCCTCTATCCATGTCGAGGCATTCAGGGTCTGGGCAGCTACAGGAGAGCTGCTCCTGTTATGTTCGGACTTTAAAGTACTTTTTCTAGGTGGTTTTGTGTTTTTTTTTTTTAAATGTAGTTATATACAGTATTGTCTGACTTTTTTTTGTGAAATAAAGATACTATCAGCATTGCTGTTTGTTTTGCATTGAGTTAAATCCATAAGGAAAATAGCAGCATATTTACTCACACTCATAGGCATGAAGTGTGCAGTAACTGTAAGTTCATTTATTAGAAAATCATTTTGGTTTTGTTTTATTGCATTTACAAGCAACGGTTTGCTGTAGCAGGGGATGAGTATTATTTATAGGCTGTGTCTCAATCCAGGGGCTGGGTCCTCATGAGTGCGCATTTGTCGGCCGCATACGTCATTGCCCCGCGCGGAGGACTGTCCCAATTCAAAGGCTCCTCATCGCGCAGCCGAGGAATGCGTCCTACTTCCTGTCGAAATCCGAGGATGCATCCATGTATCCTTACCAGCCGAGGATATCCCAGGATTCAATGCACGGGCAGCAAAATGAACAAGACGGTGGTGTTTTTATTTTTTYAACGTGTCGGCGCAGTTTGGAAATTTACCACGGACCGAAGGATTTGTTTTTTAAAAGTAAGTTTAGCAACTTAGCTGATGAAATGTATGCTGCAATAAGATGTTAAATAAAAGAAAATGCAACTACAAGTTACGAGAATAAAGTATTATAAGAATAAACTCATAATATTACGAGAATAAAGTCATAATATTATGAGAATAAAATTGCAATATTACGAGATTTAAGTCATACTACAAGAAAAAAGTCATAATATCCTAGCCTTTACGTGAAAAAGCATGCAGTCATCACTGCAATAAAATGAGGAATGTTGTCAAGTTCTTTATTGTTTATAAATAAATAGTTATCTTTTAGCACCCAATTATCAGTAGCTGGACATGGAAATTGTGCAAACGACTATATGATAAACTGAAGCTGTATTGTAATTAATAGATGCATTGACAGATTTAGTCACGTAGTTAATTTGGAAGAAACCTTAATAATCTAACAGTGATACAGGTCATCATGACTACTTTATAAACACAGAGAAACACGTGGCTGTACACAGAAGGA